CTCTCTCTCTCTCGTCCTCCCTTCCACACCTCTTAACAACAACAGATGGTGGATCTCCCGTCTCCCACTCACCCTCCTGCTGCTTCTCCCGCTCGCCCTCCTGCTCCTCCCGCTGCTCCTCCTGCTCTTCCCCCATTCCTCCTCCCGCTCCTCCTACGGGCCGCGCCCTCACCCGCCGGCAGTTTGCGCGTCGCAGTCTGCACCGCTCGATTCTCGGTGCCGGCCCTCTGCCCGCTAGTGTCCCTCTCGCCCTGCCGCACGAACCGACGCGCCCCCAACCGATGCGCCGTCCTTGGTCCCCTGCGGCACCACACCCCCGCCCACTACCACCACCGTCGTCGCCTGCGGCACCACACCCCCGCCTACCACCACCACCTTCGTCGCCTGCGGCACCACACCCCCGCTTACCACCACCACCGCCGTCGCAAATACGGCCCCCGCCCCCGCGACAGACCCTGCCCTTTTTCTCCCTGCGCCGATCCACGTCGGCACGTGTCGTGGCTGGCCCCGCCCGTCCCGCAGTTGGCCCTGCCCGTCCCACAGTTTTTCCTCTTTTTCCCGCTGAGCCGTTTCGTCTCCGCGCGCCGTGGCTGGCCCCGCCCGTCTCGCAGTTTTCCGTGGGCCGGCGACTGCGTGTGACGGTGGGACCGCTGTATCTTTTAGTTGTATAGAGATAGAATCTGATTCATCACACATCTGACTGGTCAGATCTTCATCTTCGTGGATGGCAATGCTGTAGCATCTTTTGAAGTGCTGCGGTTCTATTTTTGCACATTGTGTCCTCCAGGAGAGTAAAGCCTCACACGTTGTGCCATTCTTCTACATAAATTGTGAATTGTTGATTCTTTTTTTTTTTTTTTCACTCTCTCCTCGTCCACTGATCTATATACTTAAATTGGACAGCCGCTCCTGTCCGATCTAAAGATCAACTGATTTGATGAGCAATTCGCAATTTCACAGTGAAATGAAAGGAATATGAGTGGGAACGATATACAGAAAACGAAGTTGCGAAATCACACAGAGGTCCAAGTAGTGGTGTACAAGCAGAGAGCACAAATGCACTGAGATCCCATCCAAATAAGAGCAATACAATGAAGTAATGAGCCAATGTTCAAGCCCTCAGGCCACACCAACACAGTATCCAAAGTCACTCCTCTCTGTCTGGCGCCCAGCGCCCAGCCTACACTACTTGACTATCTTACCTACATCAGCATTCTCACAACAGGCTCGCTTTGACTCTCGAAGACCAATGTACATGACATCAACACCATAGCCGACCTCCTACATGTAGCAGGTACGTATCTCGTCTCCCCTCATCATACCCTGGCCACCACACTCGCCTCCTTCCTGAAGACCACCGATCGCCCTCTTGCCCCCCTTAGCGCCCTGCAGCCCGGCTATGGCTGCTAGCGCTCCGCTGCCTAGCAGCGCCCCACTTCACCACACACGCGCCCACACGCGCTCTGGCCTCAGCGCAGCACGCAGCCTCTAACGCAGCAGCGCAGCAGCGTGACCGCATTGCCTGCGTGGGCCAGAATGCCTGCCCCTGGCTGCTCTCCTTCCTATATGGAAGTGGCAGCCCCTGCGTTGCTGCGTGTGGCCTGGCTGGAAGCTTCCAGTAGGTTCCGGTTGGGCCCCAGTGCCTGCGCCCAGGCCCAAGACTACAGTTGAGGGCCAGGGCCCTTTACAGTTGGGCACGGCCTGAGTCTCCAGACTTGGGCCGTTTGCTGCATTTGCACAGGACCGCGGGGTAGGTACGTCGACAGTACTGCTTTTGCATAGGCCTGTCGCCACTTCATGATGTATCGCCCTTGCTTTGTGTGTATGTGCCCAGGCGCAACTGCCAAGGCCTGGGCCAACTGTACGACGCAGCGTAGGGAGGCTCACGCGTCCACTCAACCACCTGGCGGGCTGCAACAGCCTGAGTACCCATATATAAAAATGTCGAGTTTTGGCCTCTGATGAATATTCAGGCCCGCCTTCACTTAGGGCGGGTACTCGGCTTGCTGGGGGCCTCTGCCCAGAACATGTGTATGTCTGATAAGGGCCCCGTGAGGGCTCGTTCCTCGCAGAAAACTTGCAAAAGTGTATATTTGAAACATTCGACTAGTCAAATTATTCAAATCTGATGCCGGCTGAAATCTAATTGATGACATCTGAATCACATCAGCAACAGATCTGCATCAGATCTGCATCTAATCTGAATCTGATCTAAATTCATATCTGAATCAATGTGTATACCAATCCTACATATGCTTGATTCCGATATGATTGATCATTTATATACTGCACAGACCGCTGCTGCCACACCGATTATTAGCGCACTGTGCAAACGTGCAAGAAGCATGGTTGATACTTGATGTAAGCATTTACCTTGGCGCCGCCGTGCAGAACAGTTCGCCCAAAGTAGTGTGCCTTTGTTCCAAGGGAGAATGTGTAAAACACTGAGCACAGCTGTAACTGCATCCTCAGGAAGTCAACTATTGCCTGCAAAAAGTAGTTTCAAAAAGAGAACAAAGGAAAACAAAAAAACCGACAAGATTAGTTTTGGAAATGAATGGAGAAGTGAAAAGCAACTACTTCACGTTCAGCTAGTACTAAAAAAGCAACTCCTAGTTAAAGTGATATTATTACTCCAAGTATGTTGGCTAAAAACTTAGTAAAATGCCAATTATATACACTAGATGACCTGTTGCGGCTTCGCTCGCAAAAACAAACACGACAGGTGATCCAGTAAAAAGGTGGAGGCAACTGACGGATGCAAACTCTCTCTCTCTCTCTCTCTCTCTCTCTCCCCCCCCC